TATCAGACGCACCTTAGTCTCCAGAGAGATACCGTTGCTCTTCAGTACTTTGGAGTGGCCCCTAACAGCAGACTTTCCCATCACAATACGTCTTTTAATTTCCTGGCTGCTATTACCAAGAGTGTTGACTGTGGAGCCAAGCAAACTAAAGCTGTGAACATAGGAACAAATAAAGACCTCTTCCAATCCATTGGCCAGAGGGCCAACATGCAAATTTCCCAGCACAGACCGATGAGTGCATCCAAGGCTGTATCTATTAAATAAAACAACTCAATTGGTATCCCATTGATTCCTGGGGTCTTATTTTTTTTCCAATGCCTTCAAAGCAGCTTCCACTTCCTCTTTCATTACCACTGGCTCCTGTTCATATAGTTCTTTCTGAAATTTTTCAGTGTCAATTCTTTCTGGTACAGTGACTCTGTATATTCCCTCCATTTCATTTGATGCTTTCTGGGTCATTCGATACATTACCCAAAACATCTTTCAACACTGTGACATGAGGCCTAAATTTGTTTTTCAGTTCTTTCAGCTTGAGAAATGCGGAGTGAATTCGTCCCATTTTATTCTCCAATTCCTGCTTTCTGCACTTTCCCTTATAATGCTTTTCTTTGTCCTCCAAAGCTGCCCTTTGAAATGTCTGTTCAGCTCTTTACTTTGACATGTTTTCCTTTAGATTTGGCCTCCCGACGGTCCAGTACAATCTTTAGAGATTACAATCTTCTTACCACTGGACCAATAAATAAGCAATGTCATGATGGATGAGAGGAGACTGAAACTATCAACAGCTTCATCTTGCTTGGTTCCACAATTAACACCCTTGGTATGAGCAGTCAGGAAATAAGGAGGCACATTGCAAAGGGAAAATCTGCAGTTAGGCAACTTTCTAAATTATTGAAGAGTAGTGATGTCTTTTTGAGGACTACGGTGTGTCTGATTCAGGCCATGGTCTTTCCAATTACTAGATATTCATCCGAGACCTAGACAATGAATATGGATGACAGAAAAAGAACTGATGCCTTTGAGCTGTGGTGCTGGGTCAGAGCATGGACATTCCATGGACAGCCAATAAAACTAATAGATATGTCTTAAAGAGGATGTTCTTTGAAAGTAAGAACGATGAGGCTTCATCTAACATACTTTTTTCCCCCTCCTAACATTCTTTTGTCAAATTGCTAGGACGTGCTATTCCTTGGAGAAGGACAAGATGTTGGGAAGGGTGGAGGGTCGGCAAAGGAGAGCAAGACCCTCAATGAGGTGGACTGACAAGGTGACTGCTACAATGGGTTCTTCTGTGTCAGGAAGTGTGAGGATGGTGCAGGACAGGACTGGTTTCAGATCTTTTGTTCACAGGACCACTATGACTCATACTTGACTCAATGGCACCTAACAAGCAATAATAACAACAACATGCAACAGAATATTTAAAAATAAAAAACATTTACACAATCTTACCTAATTTGCTATGTATTTTGTTCTCTGTTATTACTTTAGATATTTTTGCTCTTGAGCCATCTGCAAAAAAGTAGTCAAAGACAATCAGCTATTAATTCAACACTGAAGTAAAATGTGCTAACTGCTTAATTCAAGGTAAACATTTTAAAGAAAAGATTAAAATGACTATACATTTTATTGTTTTCTTTGCTTTTTAGTGCTAAGGAACAAAAACTAAGTAACACACTAAAATTTTTTAAGATTTTGCTATAAAACATATTTAACAACTTATCATATCCACTGTTGATAGGGTCACTATGAGTCACAGCTGACTCCAAGGAATATAACAGCAACAGTTGTAGTTTTATTGTCATGTGTCATCAAGTCGTTTGTGACTCATAGCGACCCTATGTACAAGAGCCCTCAACGCCGTTCTATCCTGTGCCAGCCTTGCTGTCTCAAACACACTCGTTTCCACCACTCCACTCACAGAATTGATCATCTCTTCGAGGGTTTTCCTCTCCTGTGCCATCCCTCCAGTCTCCCAAACATAATGTCTCTCTCCAAGAACCAGTTCCTCCTTGCAACATGCCCAAAGTATGTCAGACGAAGCTTCAGAATCTTTGACTCCAAGGAGCATTCTGACTTCACCCTCTCCAGGACAAACCTGTTTCTTCTCCTAGCAGTCCTTGGTATATTCAACCCTCTCTCCAGCACCACAGCTCAAAGGCATCAATTCTCTTTCTATCACCCCTATTCTCTGTCCAACTCTCTAATGCATAGAGTGTAACTGCGAAGACTATAGCCTGGATCAGGCGCACCTTAGTCTCCAGCCTGATGTTGTTGCTCTTCAGTATGCTTGAGAGGTCCCTCACAGTTGACTTTCCCAATGCAATCCGTCTCTTGATTTCCTGGCTGCTGCTACCAAGAGAGTTGACTGTGGAACCAAGCAAACTAAAACTGTTAACTATCTCAATCTCTTCACCACCTATACTGATGCTGCCAATTGGCCCGGTGGTGAGAATCTTTGTTTTCCTGACGTTGAGCCTCAATAAGCAAATAATTAAAAACAGTTTAAGAAAGCTTTGCCAAGTTTTCTAGTGCTTGTGGAAAGGTGAAATAAGCCATCCGTTGAATCAAAACACAGGATATTATTTTAAATGTTTACAGTAACAAGTCATTTTAAATCTTAAAATCTTATGGTCTCCTACACTGGAAATGACTAATTAAGAGAAAGAGCATTGGTTTTATTATCCAAAAGAACATCTCAAGCTCTATCCTGAAGTACAGTGCTGTCAGTGACAAGATAATATCCATATTTATACAATATGGATGTACAAAATAATATAACATTTATACAATATGGATATTATGTGGACTGTTAGAACATTTTTTGAACCAATCACTGAAGCCAAAGACAAGAATGATGAGAAAGTCTGCCAATTTCTACAGTTCAAAATTAATCAAACATCATGTATTAATGATTTGCATGCAAAAGTTGGGAACAAAGAAGGAACATATGTGGTTGCAAAATACTGACTTGTGATAAAAATAAAGCTGGAGATCAAAAAACAGAATTTTGTATAATCAACAACTTAGATACTTCAAGTATCTTTTTATAAAAACTTTAAAAGGCAAACATGCAGAACTAGCCAGATAAAAATAAACTGACAACATGTACAGAAAGATACAATAGAGAAGCTCAATATCATTAGTCAGAGTAAGAATAGAAACAACTGATGGAACTGTTCATCAAGTGCCCAAAGGATGGCTAAAGCTGAAGAAAAAGAAAATAAGTCTATAAAATATAAAATATAACTTTGATTAAGTCTCACCTGAGTCTAAGTATCATCTCAAGAACAGATTTGCCTTACTGAACACTAGTTAGTGAGACTGGCTCAAGACAAGGCAGGGTTTAGAGCTCCATGGGGTCACTATGGGTCACAGGCAACTCACACATAACAACAACAACCAAAGATCAAAAAAGTTGTAGGATGACATCAAATAGAAGCTAGCAAAACGTAATTAAAAAGATATGCTGTTGGGTGCCTTTTAGTCGAGTAAGACTTACATTGATCTTATAAACAACGGATGGACCCTCTCCCAATCTGTGCCGTCTTCACAGTCTCTGACACACTTGAACCCATTGACGCAGTTACTGTGTCAATCCGCCTGATCGAGGGTCTTCTTTTTTTTTTGTTGCCCCTTAACCTTCTCAAGCATGATGGCCCTCTCCTAGAAATAGCCACTTTCGGGTAACATGACTAAAGAAATGAAGCTGCAACTTCTTTAAGATCTGTGTGTTCTTTTGGCAGTCTAAGGCATATTCAGTAATCTCGTTCAACACCACAGTTCAAAAGCACCAGTTTTTCTTCAGTCATCTTCATTTATCGTCCAGCTCTCAGCAGCATTCTTAAAGTGATTGAAAAGACTACAGCCTAAAGCATGTGCACCTTAGTCTGCAAATTAACATCACTGCTCATCAATAATTTGGAGAGGCCCCTGACTGCAGATTTTGTCACTGCAATACATTTTCTGACTTTCTGACTGCTGATACCAAATATACTGATTGTGAATCCAAGTAAGATAAAGTTGTTGACTGTTTCAATCTATATCATGATGCTGCCTATCAGTTTAGTGATGGAAAAAGATATGATTGAGGGAAAAAGGAAAAATATCAGGAAGAGGTTCTGAAATGTGCTCTATAATACAGAGAAGCTAAAGCAAATAGAAGAAATGATGAAGAAGCAAAAACAAAAGAAATCAAAGGGTGGTTCGAGGAGATAGAGTATTATTATTATATATGCCAATATTTATAATTAGAAAATCAAAAGGGAAGAATATACTTGGCATTTTTCAGGTTGAAATAACTGAAGAATAAATTCTCAAGCCTCCAATTATAATACTGAAGGTTTTTAAGGGAAAAATACCAAATGACATACAAAACATAAAAAGATGGAAAGAATACAATGTACAAAGCAAACACAAAACCGCTTTGTTATTTATTGATGCTCACCTGCATCAATAGGTAGTATGCTATCAAGAATCAAGAGTACTGAAGACAGATGTCTAAAATGTACTAAAGACATTAGTGAAAAACAAAGTTCCAGGCACAAGAGAATACCAAATGAAATGTTTCAACAAATGGATGCAGTGCTGGAGGGGCCGATCTGTCTTTAACCAGAAAAGAGCTACTTGGCCAACTTATTGGAAGAGATCAATATTTGTGCACATTTCAAAGAGATGTGATCTAATATAATGTTGACATTATCTAATGGTATTATTAATCTCACAACTGAGTAAAATATTGCTAAAGATAATTTTAAAATGGCTGGAGTAGTCCAATGACAATGAAGTGATAGAAATTAGAGTTGGATTCAGAAAAGAACAAAGAATAAAAGCTATTATGGCTAACATTAAATGAATGTTGGCTAAAAGAACACCAGAAAGTGATTTTACTAACTATATAAAGGCATTCAACAGTGTAGATTACAATAAGTTATAGGTAGCATTATGAAGAATCAAAATTTCTAAACTCAGCCTGAAGTTCTGACAGATAGACATCATTCTGTCAAGGCACTATACTGTTGGGAGAAAAGTGCAACTATGAATGAACAGAAATCCAAAATCTCTGTAAATGTTCATTAAAATTAATAAAAAACCCAAAACACAATGATTCAATGTATGAATGATTGAATGGAATAAACTATGCTTTGTAAACTTAAATAAAAAAAATCTTCAGTCAAGTTCGGCTTGTGTGAAATAATATTAATGATAGTGTTTGATAACTTTCACATTCTGTCAGATCCCCTTTATTAAAATGGGAATAAATATGGATCTCTTCTAGTCAGTTGGTCAGGTAGCTTTCTTCCAGATTTCTTGGCATAGCCCAGAGCTACATCTGTTTACTGGAATATGTCAGTTGGTATTCCAGTAATTCCTGGGGCTTTATACTTTGCTAATTAATGCCTTCTGTGCAACTTGAATTACCACTGGTTCTTGATCATATTCTATATGCTAAAATGGTTTCATGCCAGCCAAATCTTTTTGGTACAATGACTTGGTGTATTTCTTCCATCTTTTCTGATGCTTTCAGAATGACTCAAGATTTTGCCCATAACAAAATTGGTATTGCAATTCCTCTTCCACTGCCACCACTACCCTAGTTTAAATTATCACCACTCACCAGGATTATTTGAATGCTTCACCAACTTATTTCCTTGATTCTAGTCTTACATCTGTTCCTCACCATCGTATGTATAATTCTACCAATTACTTTAGATCATGTTTCTGCTCAAAACTCTTTATAGTGATTTCTTCATATATCTTAGTAAAGGTTAAGTCCTTTGACATTCTATGTGATTTTTCACTCTATCTCTACAACATCATCTCTTCCCTCTGCTTTTAGCCTGCTGGTGTCCTTGATGTTCCTCAATCAGGACAGATCCTTCATCATATCAGATATTTGGCTCTTGATCTTCTCACTTCCTAGGAAATTCTTTTTCCAGACAGTTACATGGTTTGCTTTCACACCCCTTTCATTATCTTTACTTAAATGATCACTTTCTTTGTGAAGTTTTCTCAGGCTATCTGCATAAAAATGTAACCTGATTGTTGTTATTAACTACCAGCTGTTGTTGAGGACCCTGACTCATGGGTACTACGACAATGGAACACAACACTGATACTCTCTAGTGATCAGTTGCAAGGATTTCATTACCTGCCCTGAGACTTCCATTTTATTATCTACTCTTGATATTCAACAGATGATAGATATTGATCTCTTTCTGTATTTCTGCCATCCTGTCTCTACAGAAAACAAAGTTCCAGAAAGGCAAGAATTCTTGTCAATTTTATATACTGTTATACTCCCATTCATTTGAAGAATACATAAATATTTAATGATATCCCATAAATATTTCAAGCATATTAAAAATATATATATTTATATATTTTTGTGTATACACATACTTACATTACTTTGCTTAAGTACCAAAAAATATGTTGTTATTATTATATATCATCAAGTTGGCCACAACTCCTGGTGAACCTATGAACATCAAATCTGGACCTTGTTCTATCTTGTGCCATTCTCACAATCTGTGCAATGCTCAAGCCCTCTGGGCTTGAACAGTTACCCTGTCAATTCATCTTGTTGAGGTTTTCCTTCCTTATGCTGATCCTCTATCTTTCCAATCATAATGTCCTTTTCCAAGAATTGGCCCCTTCTAATAACATATCCAAAGTATGCGAGACAAAGTTTCACCATCCTTGCCTCTTGGGCACCACAACTCAAAAACATCAATTCTTCTGTCATCCTTATTCAATGTCCAACATTCAGACACATAGCAAGTAACTAAAAAAACTATGGCTTGGATCAGACACACCTTAATCTTTAAACTGACATCATTGCTCTCCAGCACTTGGGAGAAGACCCTGAGAGCAGATTTCCCCAATGTAACAAATCCTGTCATGTCCTGACTACTGATAGTAAGGATGTTGATTATAGATCCAAATAAAAAAACTGTCAGTCTTTTCCCCATTTATCATGATGCTGCCTACTGGCCCAGTGGCGAAGATTTTTCTTTTATTGATGTTGAAATGTAATCTATATTGAAGGCTGTAGTCTTTGATCTTCTACAGCAAGTGCTTCAGGTCCTCCTTAAATTCAGCAAGCAAAGTTTTTCATCTGTGGGACCCATACTGTTGTTGAGTCTTCCTTTGATCCTAATGTCATTCTGTTTCATAAAGTCCAGTTTCTCAAATTATTAGCGTGGCATATAGACTGAAATGGTATTGAGGAAGGATACAGACTTCAAACATACCTTTCTTGATTTTAAACTGTTTGGTGTTCTCTTGCTCTGTTTGGGTAACAGCTTCTTGGTCTAGGTGTAGGTTTCACACGAATACAATTAAATGTTTTAGGATTTCCCAATATTTTTTTTTCCATTTATATGCTTACCAGTTTAACATTTCAAAATACTCTAGTAGATACCATTGTTGTTGTTGACGACGCTGGAGTCGAGCATGACTCATAGCGACTCTATGAACAGAAGACCTGAACCCTGTTCTGTAACTATCGTCATTTCTCTAAGTTCATAGAGCTTCCAAAGGCATGTTGTTTAGAAAGTAGATGCCACTTCTGCCTCCAAACCTGTCTTCTTAATCTGGGAGCTCTACCAAACATTGTTCACTGTGGGTAATCATTATGACATCTGAAACACCAGTGGTACAGGATTCAGCATCACAGCGACCCTGGGTTACCTCTGTACAGCAAATTGACAAACACGTGCTATAGCACTTAGAAGAAAGAATATTCCTCTGACTTTTAAATACAAAAGCCCTCCACCAAGTCCTGCGGACTCTAAACAAGACCCTAAAATAAAAAACAACCAACCAAATAGACCACATCTAACCCTCAACCAAAACAAGAAAGCCTACCTTTCAGAATTCAACTGCTTCACTCATCAGTCTCCAAACTAAAGACTTAGGGTCCAACCTTAAATACACAGGCCCTCCTCCAGGTTCTGTTTACTCTAAGAAAAAGGCTTAAATAAAAACAGCCAACTAACATTCCACATCCACCATCAACCAAAACAAAAGAATCCACCTTCCAGAATTAAGTGCCAAAATTTCAGTATGATCTCCTTAAAATAAAGAACTCACTTCTCTCTTCCTCTTTGTCCTCCTCGCTCTCTCTTCTTCAGGCTATATGGTAATAACACTATGTCTACTGCACATGGATATATACAACTACTATCAACGAACGGATTCTGACAAGGAAGACTCAGAAAGATAGGCATCCTGCAGAACAAAAAACTGCCTGAAGGATTTCCAAAGCAGTAAGTCTTTACAAAGGAAAATGCCTCAGATTTCTCTTACAAAGCAGGTTGTGGGTTTGTGAACAGGACTTCTTGTACATGCACCTAGGATCCAAAACTGTTGGGAGTGGGGTGGTGGGGTGTGTCCCCAACAAAAACAAAACACAAAAACTGCTTCAGAAATTTCTGATTCAAAATGATTCCATGTTACAGAGTAGAACGTACCCATTTGGTTTTCTTGATTATAATCATTATGGAAGCAAATCACTCAGCATTTCTTTCATGGGGTCAATGAATGTTTTGAACAGTTAATTTTTTAGGTTAGTAGCCATTCACTTGCACAACCCTAAGCAAACGGTCTTTCAAATCTATATAATAAAGTTTCCAAGAGTAGGTAGGTACTCAATACTTGCTTGCTATAAGTGACAATTTAAAATAGCACACCCTACCATTCATGCATAGAATGATTATAGACTCTTGTTTATATCAACTTAAATAATCACTTACCTGAACTTTTCTGAGCTTCCTTTAGTCTTGTATCAGAATCATTCTTTTCAGATGTCTTACATGTCTGGAGAATAGGTCCACTTAGAAAAAAGTAAATTAATCAATAAATCTCAAAATGTGTGCTATTAAAATACATATATATATGGATGTTTTTCTCCTAAATTAGCAAGAGTTTCTTCCTTAAAAACCAACAATAACATTATAAGAAACCAAGAATATAATGCTTGTTGAATACAACAAATACTCTACAGTTTACAGCTGACTACAAAACAGGGTTAATATTAAATTTTATAACATTTTAAAATTGACTCTTGTATCAAGGTTATATATTTAGTTAACTTAAGTAAGAACTTAGATATCTTGGAGGGTAATATAAACGGATTACTGTTTCAATCATCCACAAATACACTAAGAAAATCAAGAAGCAGAAGAACTGCAGATGAGGAGTCAAATACTGGTGTATTCTGCACACAGGTTTTCGCATCAATTCTAAGGGAACTAACAACAGCAAGAATAGAGAAATGTACGGCATTCAGAGTTTAACAGTGTTTGCCACAGGCAAAAAGGATGAAGAAAAAGGAAGTTTCTAGGTAGCAATGAGTTTTTGCTGACGCATCCTATCTCCATACCTTTTCAACCTATATGCAGAACAGATTATCCGGGAAGTGGGGCTCTACAAGGAGAAATGTGGGGTCAAGACTGGTGGACGATTTATCAACAATCTGTGTTATGTGGATGACACAACCCTGCTTGCTGAAACTGAAGAGGACCTGAAGCGCCTGCTGCAGAGTGTCAAGGACTGCAGCCTA